CATCATTGCAAAAATGAGTTTTTTGATGTCTTTCAAAAATTTGTCACTTGGTACTTTATACCCTATAGACGAGGTGATTAGTTTTTGGAAAAGGCAGGTCCAGCTGTTTCGGAGCTATAAAGCAAAGAGTGCAGAAAATAGAAATCGGATACAAATGGGATACAATTTTTAATTCACGTTTTTGAGAGAACGGAGCATCCGATTTGGATGATTCAAAAAACATTCTATTCCCATTGATTAAGAGACGTGCTGATTAGTTTTTTGCGAAGGCAGGTCTAGCCATTTCGAAGATACGGTGCAAAAAGTGCCAAAAATGGTAACTCGGTTTTCAAGAGAACAGATTTAACAATTCCAATTTTAATAATTCAAAAAACATTTTAACTGCGTTGACAAAATGAAGAATTGATTAAATTTTTGCGAAAAGCAGGTCTAGCGGTTTCGGTGATACAGAGAGAAATGTAAAGATAAATGATATTAGGCGGTCATTAGACATATGCATATCAAATTATAGAAATTGTAAAAGTGAGTACTAATTTTGTTTACATTCCTATGGGTTCCGTACCATGAATTTTAATTTTTAAAGTTCACTTATAATTTCAAAATTTTCAGAAAAAAAATCTCAGTATTCAGAATAATACAAAGTTTTATACTTTAAACATAAATTATAAATTTACAATTTAGTTTGAAAAAAGTATATATTTTATGTGCGTTATTTTAGTCGTAAGAAATATATGATCAGATGGATTCATTCGGCATCGCTTGTAAATGTAAACATTCTTAAGTATTTTGTGCTATAAGATCGTCACTGTATAATATATAAACGAAAACACATATAGTAATTGTAATTATCTCTTTGAAAATATTTAAAACAATTGTTATTAATCATTGATCAATATTCAATGATCTTTTTTTTGCTCGAATGTTTAATTCTGTTACGGAAAGTTCCAGCAATTTGCCTCAAGGCACGATACCATGCACCACTAGTTTACTAGTTTTTATTGTTTACACCTTTGTCAGGATAAATGTTTAGTTTATCCTGACCTACCTCACCTACATGTAAAACTATTAACGATATTATATAAAAACATTTGTCGAATATAACTTATTAAAATACAAAACCTTATTAAACCTTTTAAAAAAATTATACAATAACCTCATGAAACAAAATATTGAAATATTTATAAAACAACTAAATAAAGAATACTTAAAAACTATATTAAGGTTTCGTAAACTAAACAACAGTGCTCATGGCAAAAACAACTAACAAGGAAAGAAATACTTTTGTTATAGATTTTAGAACATCTTCTGATAGCGAAGTCGTAAAAGTTAAGGTGTTGGCTGGATATGCATCTTTTGACCTCTACTTTCAAATATTGATGTCAAAAAACTCCTAACTTTACTTGGTTTTTCGATATCGATGGTGATCCCTCACTCTATCTCAAAAACAATCACAATTTCTCAACCTAACAAAATTCGTAATGGCAAACTAATTGATCCAAATTTCCATCGCCCTATTGTATCTAGTATTATCTCATCACAATCATTTCTATCGAAATCGTTATTTTGCACAACCTATATTAATTATTCCTTCTTATAACTACAAGTCTAAATTTACAAATTTTCAACAAACAGTGGTAACAATTGGTGTAAATAATCCTAAGATAAGATTTAGATCCTCCTCCCGATATCCACTAATGAGCATTTTTATATTTTGAAAATCCTTGACCCACATGTAAAGGCACCTAAAGACATGACCATATAACGTCCAACAATAAAGGAAACGTAAATCATAAAATGTAGCGGACTACTACGAATCTTACCTAACACCGACAATAAAATTCACACCAACATTCGAACAATTCAACACTTGAACACTTCTTGAACATTACCATTAACACCAGAAAATGATAGACAAACAATAATTGTCAATTGTGAAATTCCTTTGCAATTTCCATACTGTGCTTTTGTCTTCGTAAGACATAAATCGTAATACGTCTTAAGATAAAGAAACCGACGGACTGATAGACTGATGGACGGATGGAGGAATAATTAGTATAGGTTGTGCAAAATAACGATTTCGATATTTGCGATGAGATAATACGAGGTACAATAAGGCGATGGAAATCTGGATCAATTAGTTTGCCATTACGAATTTTGTTAGGTTGAGAAACTGTGATGGTTGATATAGAGTAAAGGTCCAACAGGTTAGGAATTTTTGAACAACAATATTTGAAAATAGAGGACAAAAGATATATAACCAGCCAACACCTTGATTTTCACGACGTCGGTATTAGAAGATTTTTAAAAATCCATAACATAAGTTTTTTTCTTTCACTGTTAGTTTTTTTGGCCGTGAGCACTGTTGTTTAGTTTACAAGACCTCAATATAATTTTTTTTAACTTCCCGTAGAGTAAGTTATTGTAATCGCCCAAAAATCGAAATTGAAATTTTTACATTTCTCGACGTTTTGAAGGCTTCTGAACATTTTGGCATACCTCAGAAAAAAAGGATGTGTGTGTGTGTGAGTGTGTATGTATGTATGGATACAATTTTTCGTCCACGTTTTCGGGCGCACGGTTCCACCGATTTGAATTGTTCAAAAAACATTCGATTCCTATTGATAGGGAGATGTTCTGATTAGTTTTTGGCAAAGGCAGGACCAGCCATTTCGAAGATACGAAGCTAAATGTGCCAAAAATGGCAGTTTTTAAGAGAACTAAGCGTCCGATTTGAATGATTCCAAAAACTTTCTGCTTGTTTTAACACAATAATTGATTTTGGGAAAAAAAAATTTGCTTCAATTTTTTTTTTTAATTTTTTTTTCCAATTTAGTTTATATAAGTCTTATAAATATAAATAGACAATATCACAATATTTATAATAATCTATTTTAAAACATTTAATATTCCTCGATCATTTCGTTACGGTACGGGAAGTTCCAGCAATTTGCCTTAAGGCACGATGCCATACATCCTACTAGTTTAATTGTTTTATAAGATGTATTGTTAACTTTAAGTTATATTCAACACATGTTTTTATATAACATCTTTAATAGTTTAGATGTGGGTGGGGTAAAAAGGACCAGTTGAACCTTTTCCTTGGCAAAGGTGTAAAGAATAAAAAGATTGTTTACATTTACAAGAGATGTTGAATGAACTATATTGTGAATTTAAAATTAATATTTTAATTATGAAACTTGATATGTTTTGAAAATTCTGAAAAAAATGCTGGAAATTTTGAATTTTGTTTGAACCTTATCATTGAACTTTAAAAATTAAAAATCTTGGTACAGAAGCCAAAATTTTTATAACAAAATTAGTACTCATTAATAAAATCTTTATAAAATATCTGATAATTTGATGTGCATATGTGCATGGTATCGTGCTTTAAGGCAAATTTCTGGAACTTCCCTTACCAGAATTAAATATTCAAGCAAAAACATGATATCAATAAATATTTATCAATGATCAATAACAATTGTTTTAAATATTTTCAAAAAGACAATTATAATTACTGTTGTAATTATAATTGTGTATAAATGTATAAATGTGTTCGTTTATATAATATACAGTGACGATCTTATAGCACAAAACACTTAAAAATGTTTACATTTATAAGAGATGCCGAATGAATCCATCAGAGGATATATTTTTTACGATTACAATAACGCATATGAAATATATATTTTTTCAAACTAAATTGTAAATACAAAATTTATATTTTAATTATGAAACTTGGTATATTTTTGAAAATTCTGAAAATTTATTTTAGAAGTTAATTTTTATCGATAATTAGTCAAAAATCAGAAAGTATTATATAGTTTCACGGTTTACTGGAAAACACTCTCCTAGCATTTTTCTCTAATTTTTTGAATTTTAACAAGTATTTAAGTTTTTTTTTAAAAAAGTAAGAGTAACTTTATACATACTAACTTGCTTCACTATTTTTTTCATATATATATATATTTGAATAAAAATCAGAACCCAGTATTTTATGAGGTATTGTGATATTATTTCCTAGACCAGTGTTATTAGAAGACCATACAGAATTGGACCAATAACTTCCTAATGCAATTATTAAAAAGAGGTTACATTTAAGATCTATAGAACTGGTATTTCTACTGCTTGATATCAAGCTAGCCAAGAGGATATTGAATCTAGAATTAGCCTGCGAGCCACCGACCTATAGATTCACTATATAGATTTTATACATTTTAATACAAAATATTAATGTTTCATGCAATTTTCAAATTTGTGAAATCTCAGATTTTATTTAAATTTTGAATTTGTTCCAGGCTTGGATAAATTTAAAATTTCAGTTTCTTGACTCTTGTTTATTCAAACAATTACCGTAACATTCATTAAAACTCAACAATATAAATATTTCAATATTAATTTTGCATACGAGTGCAGTATGCCCACGCACGGAACTGTTATATAGAATTATTATTTTCTCAATGGAGAATAATTTGAAAAGAAATTACAGACGACAATGACATTAAATATAATAATTATGAATAATATTAATAATAATTGTACGCAGAAAGAACTGAGAAATGAGAAATGTATGTTGTATAATTAACATATGCAAAAGAACTGAAGTCCTGTTAAAATTAACGCCAAAGATTTTAGAATTGGAAATACTTATGCAAATTTGGTTTGTAACAAGTTATTTGTTAATTTGAAAAATTCTATTCGTGTACTAATTATTTGTATATTAGGAAAAATTGAAAATTTACTAGTAAGAGGTATAAGAAAGAAAAACAGCGATCATGTATAGGTAAAAAACAAATGGTGTATAAAAAATACTTAAATTTGGGTGTACCATTACAATTTTAATAATTTGTTTGTTTGAGGCTACTTCCTCAGTTTCTCGGATGAGAAATTGGGCGTTTTACAAAGTCATATATTTATTTAAATATTTTATTTTACATACTTTAATTTAGCTTCAATCGTATATATTCAGACAATTGTGATTTAATATAGAAATTATATCTTACCGAATCTCTATCGCTGCTTTCTTCGACCAAAGTTTCTTCAGAATCATTATTGTTTATGGTCACTCCTGCACTTTTTGAATAAATCTGAAAAAAATATTAATAAAACACTATTAATTATTAGCAATTTTTAAGGACAACGTAACACTGATGTAAAAAGGTATTATTTTATTTATTTACTTATTTATTTATTTAACTATATATATATATTTCCATATATCAGTCAGAATACTTAGTTACTTTTATTTTAAAGTTCAACCATTCAAGAATATGTTGACCAGAAATTTTCGAAAAATTTGAATTATTTTCGAAGATATAGCTGTTTGACCTCGATAATCTTCTTCTAGAAGGTTAACGAGGTTATTATCTTCTGTTTCCTTCAAAATTTTGAATGCATTTTCCCCGAAACTCTTTATTTGGATCACGATACCTACGATTTCTCAATTTCTACTCGATCTATTCAATTGAAATTTTTACATTGTTCTTTTATAGACTTCCCATTCAAATTAAAAATTTTAAAAGCAGTTTTTCTGAAGCTGTCCTTTTTGGTCGTTATACCCACGATTTCTCAACTTCTACTCAACCTATTTAATTGAAATTTTT